AGACAGCTTTAAATTTTAGCAAAAAAAAATTACTGACAATCTTGTCAAGTTATAAAACCCTAGTTCATCAATTTCCCAAGTGTTCTACTTTTTGGACATACTAATTTTAAGATTTTACAATTTTCCATTTTCAAGTCTGTATCACATTCAAACAATAAACTACAGACATCTAAAGAAAATGATCAGGATGACCAAATAACTGGGAGACTAAGAAAAGAAACTAATGTAAACATGCGTGGATTAGTGAGGGAAAAACTAAAGGCAGCAGCATGACAGAACCTACAAATCGAAGAAAAAGTAGATGTTCTTTAGTGGTATTCCTAAACTGTAAAATATTGGTAATAGTTTTATAGAAATATTTCATGAATTATAATGTGCTTTTGGAAATCATTTTAGTATCTTTAAAAGCAAGATTCACTTAGAATCAAGGTGTGTCAGTTAAAAGGTCACCAATTTTTTCATTTAATAAAACATGAACCAATGATGCATCTTCCAACTAATAATATCTTAGATTGGACAAAGTAAGGTAGTTATGATACTCGGTAAATTTGTACTGAATGACTTCGTACTAGTTCCCATGAGTGATAATTTCAGGTAGAAAAGTGAAAAACAATGTACTGTCAGAGCAAGCTTATAAAAAAACTGAACAAAAGACATCAATACGGGATAAAGACTCAGATTAAATGCAAACTCTCCTATTAAGATATTCTACTTTGTTGTGATCAATGTGTTTCAAAAATATTACTGCAAATATATTACTGTTGTAGGATAATATTCTATGTTATATTAGACAAAATGTATAGCCTCTCCTTGTATAAGCTCACTGAATTTAAACAATGCACATTTCCTAGCCTTATGCTTGAAGAAAAGCAAATAAGATATACATCTGCTCTATAGCATTTTTTAATTCCTTAGTAGACAAGACTGGGTTTTACGCATTTCCTGTTAAAATTTATTCACACTTCAGTGCTGGTACTATTGAAAATGTTATCTTTGGGTGAAAGTTTTGTTGCTTCCAAGTTTATAGACATACAAGGGATGTTTACACATTGACCTTGTATCTACCTACAATGCTAAATTCTCCAGTTATAATAATTAACTTGTAGATTCTTAGAGATTCTTTACATAATACAATACAGGCCAGGAATGGTGGCTCATGCCTATCTTCCCAGCACTCTGAGAGGCCAAGGTGGGTAGATTGCCTGAGCTCAGGAGTTTGAGACCAGTCTAAGCAAGAGCAAGACCTTGTCTCTAAAAAAAATACCCAAGTGTTGTGGCGGGGACCTGTAGTACCAGCAACTTGGGAGGCTGAGGCAAGAGAACTGCTTAAACCCAAGAGTTTGAGGTTGCTGTGAGCTGTGACATTACAGCACTCTACTGAGGGTGACAAAGTGAAACTCTGTCTCAAAAAAACAAAACAAAGAAAAAAATTCAAACTAAAAAAACAATTAAATATATTATACAGTATATAAATCTATCATCTAATGTCTAGACAATTTTGGTTTTCTTTTCTTAACCAATCCTTATTGCTTTCTTTTTCTTGTTCTCGCCTTACTGCCTGCCTGGATCTCCATTATGATATTCAAAAGCAAATTCATTGATCCTTTGTTCTTTCTTCCACAATGCCTAATTTGCAGTTAGGAGACTACACATTTAAATTATACAATTTGAAGAACTCTGACATGCACATACACCCATAAAACAACTGCTAGAGTCAGGGTAAACACTTTCAGCACCATGAAAAGTTTTCTCATGCTTGCTTGCTTGTAATCCATCTCTTCCTTTACTCACAATAGCTAAGACTGTTGCAAAAGTAATGAAAGACTTCAACTCACAGATCCAAATATTTCAGAGAACATTAAGCAAAATAAATACTTGAAGAAAATCTTGAAATCAGCCAGAGGAAAAGAGCCAAATTACATGTGCAAGAACACAGATAATAATTACAGAATTATTACATATCCAAAATTATGCACTAGAAGACAATGAAGTGCATCTTTAAAGTGATAGAAGAAACAAAGTGTCAACCTAGAATTCTATACTCAGCAAAAAATATTTTTCAAAAATATTTGAAAAATAAACAAATAAACATAGACAAATAAACAGAGAGAAAATTCATTATCAGCAGACATACACTACAAGAAATGCTGAAAATGTGGAGGAAATGCACCAGTTCCTGGAATCACACTACCTCCCTAGGCTCAAACAGGAAGAAATAGAACTCTTGAATACACCAATATCAATCACTAAAATTGCAACAACAATAAAAAAGATTCCAACAAAAAAAGTTGTGGCCCAGATGATTTCACACCAGAATTCTATTTTACCAAACCTTTAAAGAAAAGCTCGTTTGTATGTATTCCAAAACATTGAGAAGGAAGGAATCCTCTCCAATTGCTTCTACAAAGCAAATATCACCCTAATACCAAAACCAGAAAAAGACTCAACAAAAAAAACTACAGATCAGTATTATTAATGAATATTGATACAAAGACACTCAATAAAATTCTAGCAAAAAAAATTTAGCTGCAGATCAAAAAAATACGACATCATGACCAAGTGGGCTTCATCTCAGGCATGTAAAGCTGATTCAACATAAAAAAATCCACAATTGTAGCTCATTACATAAATAGCTAATTGCAACTCATTACATTAATAGAGGACCATATGATCCTCTCAATAGACACAAAAAGCCTTTGACCAAATTCAGCCTCCTTTTTTGATAAGAAAACTTAATAGCCATGGATGGACATTTCTTAAACTGATGGAGGACATTTACGACAAACATTATACTAACAGCTAACCTTATACTGAATACACAAAAATTGAAAACATTTCCACTTAGAACTAGAGCCAGACAACAATGTCCACTATTGCCACTACTATTCAACAGTGCTGGAAGTCCTAGTGAATGCAATCAGGCAAGAGAAGAATATCAAGGGTATCCAAATGGGGACAGAGTAGTTCAAACTATCTGTGTTTCCTAACGATATAATATTATACTTAGAAAACCTCATGAGACTCTTGGAAGTAACCGAGAAATATGGCAACATATCAGGATACAAAATCAACGTTCACAAATCAGTAGTCTTCATACATGCCAACAAAAGGCAAGCTAAGAATCAAAATTAAAGACAAAATACTCTTCACAATATTAGCTCCAAAGAAAATGAAACACCTTAAGAATGTGAAGGATCTCTATAGAGAGAAATGTGAATCGCTGAGGAAAGAAATAGCAGAGCATGTTAACAACTGGAAGAACATACCATGTGCATAGCTGGAAAGGATCAATATTGTTAAAATGTCTAGATTACCCAAAGCAATCTACATATTTAATTAATGCCATTCCCATTAAAAGTCCATTGTCATACTTTAAAGAACTTGAAAAAAATGTTTTTTTGTTTCATATGGAAACCAGAAAACAAAAAAATAGCAAACACAATTCTATGAAATAAGAACAAATCTGAAGGCATCACATTACTAGACTTTAAGTTATACTGCAAGTCCATAGTGATCAAAACAGCATAGTATTGTCATAAAAATAAAAACAGATCTATAGAACAGAACAGAAAACTCAGAGATAAAACAAGCCTCATATCACAATCTGATCTTCTATAGCAAACAAAAACATACTGGGGAAAAAAATTCCTATTTAATAAATGGTACTGGGAAAACTGGTTAGCCATGCATAAAAGGCTGAAACTGGACCCACATCTCTCACCAATTAAAAAGTTAACTCACAATGGATAAAAGACTTAAACCTAAGACATGAAAGTATACAAACTCTAGAAGAAAGTGTGAAGAAAACTCTGAAAGAGTTGGGAAAGAATTTATGAAGAAGACCTCAAAAGCAAATTGCAGCAACAACAAAAATAAATAAATGAGACCTGATAAAGTTAGCAAATTTCTGCACAGGTAAGAACACAATCAACAAATCAAAGACATAACCTTCAGAGTTTAAGAAGATATTTGCATGTTATGAATCCAACAAAAGGTTTAATAACCAGAATCTACAAAGAACTCAAGCAAAGGACATCATTAAAAACTGGGCAAAAGACATGAAAAGAATCTTTTCTCATGAGGACAGATGAATGGTTAAAAAACGCATGAAGCAATGCTCACTGTCTCTATTAGAGAAATGCACATCAAAACCACTTTGAGATACCACCTAATCTCAAGTTAGAATGGCCCACATCACAAGGTCTCAAAGGAGCAGATGCTGGGATGGTTGCAGAGAGAAGGGAACACTCATACACTGTTGATGGAACTGCAAATTAGTACAGCCTTTATGGAAAGAAGTATGGAGAATCCTCAAAAATTGAAAAGTAGACCTTCCATTTGATCCCACAATCTCATTACTAGGTATCTACCCAAAAGAAAAAAGTCATCTTATAATAAGGACATATGTACTCAAATGTTTATCGTAGCCCAATTTACAATTGCAAAGACATAGAAACAACCAAAGTGCCCTTCAACAAATGGATTAATAAACTGTGATATATATATATATACCGTGGAATACTATTCAGCCATAAAATGATGAAGATTTTGTACTTTTTGTTACAACTTAGATGGATTTGGAGAATGCTTTCCTTAAGTATCACAAAAATGGAAAAATCAAGCATCCCATGTACTCAGTACTAAGTAGAAACTCGAAGATTAACAAGACCAGGTGCACTTGGGGGAAAAACTCAAAAACTCAAAGAAGGAGGGAGGAGAGAAGATGTTTGGTAAGTTCCCACCTAGTGGATACAATGTAAGGTTAAATGGTACCCTTCCAGGGTGAAGGTCACAACTACAACTTGGCCCTTCTTTACCTTACAAATGCATACAATGCAACCTAAGCATATGTACCCTCATTTTAATCCAAAGAGAAATAAAGGAAATATTAAAAAAAAATGCTTCAGGCAGAAGAAATGGTATCATACACACATTTAGATCTACACGAGCAAATGAAAATTCTCCAAAAATGGTCAAGATGATGGTAAATGTATTTTCTTGTGCTTGCTTCGGCAGCACATCTACTAAAATTTAAACGAAACAGAAAAGATTACCATGGCCCCTGCACAAGGATGACACATAAATTCATGAAGCATTCCATATTTTTGTCTTAATAAAATTATAGAATTTTTTTAAAAACAGATTTTTTTCTCTATTTTTAAAACATCTAAAAATAATCAACTATCTAATATAAAATACTCATAATGTGAGTTTATAGCACATATAAAATTTCTGTTAATCATATACCTGATAAGACTTATCTCTAGACTATATAAATTCTTAAACTCAACATTAAGAAAGCAGCCAATGCAAATTTTTATAACACGCAAAAGCTTTAAACAGATACATCACTAAAGAACACATAAATAACAAATGAACACATAAAAACGCCGAATATATCATTGATATGCAAATTAAAATCTCAAGAAAATACCATTATATTAATATATAAAAATAGCAACATAAAAGCTGCTCCTCATGTGTTGGTAAAAATGCACAGTAACCGGGCTCAGCGCCCGTAGCACAGTGGTTATCACGCCAGCCACATACACTGAGGGTGGTGGGTTCGAACCTGGCCCAGGCTAGCTAAACAACAATGACAGCTGTGACAAAAAATAGCCAGGCCACCCACAAAAAATAGTGGGCACCTGTAGTCCCAGCTACTTGGGATGTTGAGGCAAGAGAATTGCTTAAGCCCAAGAGTCTGAGATTGCTGTGAGCTGTGATGTCACAGCACTCTACCAAGGGTGACACAGTGAGACACTGTCTCAAAAAAAAAGGCTCGGCACCTCTAACTCAGGCGCAGGCGGCAAGGGTGACAGCCACATACACCGGAGCTGGCAGGTTCGAATCCAGCCCAGTCCAAAAAATAGCCAGGTGTTGTGGCGGGCACCTGTAGTCCAGCTACTTGGGAGGCTGAGGCAAGAGAACTGCTTGGGCCCAGGAGTTTGAGGTTGCTGTGAGCTGTGATCCCAAGGCACTCTATCCAGGGTGATAGCTTGAGACTCTGTCTCCAAAAAAAAAAAAGAGAATGCAGAGCAATTGGAATTCTTATAAATTACCGATAGAAATGCAAAATGGAAAACAGTTTGAAAATTTCTAATAAGGTAAACAAACAGTACCACATCATCCAACAACCTCACATCTACATAGTATGTGCAAGAGAAATAAAACTTACATTTACCCAAAAATCTATATGCAAGTGTTCATACAATTTCACTCATAATCATCCATAACTGAAAATAACTCAGTGCCCTTCAACTGTTGAATAGATAAACTATGCTACAATGAAATACCATTCATCTATTGAAAAGAACTACTGATAACATGCAACACCATGGATGTATCTCAAATGCATGACGTTAAGTAAAGGAAGCCAGACTCAAAATATACATTGTATGATTCCATTTAATATAATACAAGAAAAAGCAAAACCATCAAACCAAAAAGCAGATCCATGTTTGTCAGTGCCTGGATGTAGGAAAGGAGATCGCTACTACCAAGGCACACAAAAACACTTGTGGGGATAAATTGCTCTATCCCAAGCTTGTCAAAGAATTAGTTACTCAACTGTTTGTGTGTCAAACCTCATTGAAATTACAACTTAAACTTTGCAAAAAAAAAAAAAAATTCTTTTTAATATGGCATAAGAGATAGTTTTTGAAATAGGAAAAGATGAAGGTCTTTATTGAGAATTAAATGAACTGTGAGGTTAGAATGCTTAGTGGGCTTATCCTTAGGAGCAATGAAGTCCAGAAATGATGTCAAGAATTAAAGTAAAGATGGAAGGCTAAAACTTAGATGTTGAAGTCATCAGTGAATGAGGAAAGATCATGCAATACAAAAAAAATCCCAGGATCCTCAAAAATAAAAAGCCTTTTGTATAGAAGTACAACAATGATTTGAAAGCAAAAGCACTATACAGAGTACATACGGAAAAACTACTATTTAAAAAAAGCTTTTTGGGAATAAACCAAAGTTTGTGATATGCTCATATGAATATGACAGTCTCTAGAAGAATTCATACCAGATGATAGTGAACCCTTTCTGTAAAAATCAACATATGAAGTGCATACATATGCATGCACACGTTTGGAAATCAGACGAAAATTAAAAGAAATGCCATTTTATAAGCCGAAAAGATATAACAATTCTTAAAATTCTTTTAATAATAAAATAATTTATTTAAGTTAGAGTTAGCTCATGTTTACCTAGCGAAACCTTTCTCACTGAAATTGCCTATAATAAAATAATGTGAGCCACAAAGCAAAAACAGTGATAAAAGTCTGATATCTATAAGTATATCAATAGCTAAAAGTTAACCAGTCTTTGTTAACTTCTCACTGCTCTAAATGCTTACTTCTTAAGTGTCACATATCCTTGACAGGAGCAAGATTTTTGACTTCTTCATCACTTCTATAAATAACATCACTATTATAAAACCTTAAGAGTGGTCTTTGAGATATCTTCCAGAGTCTGCATTTGAGGGGACCAAGTGATGTCAATCAGACCAGTGGCCATACATGAGAACTCATCCAACAAGTCCTGTGACCAGCTACTCAACAAATGTCCCAGCAAAGGACACAATTTCTATTTCCCAACCATATCAATTTATCCCTAAACAATAAGTAGACCCAATTCCCTAGCCCTTTGTTCACCAAACCAACTATTCAAAATCTTAGCCCCAAAATCCTCAACAGAGTTGGGTTTGCGAAATTTTCCCATTTCCTTGCTTGGTACCTCGAAATACTAAGTTCTTTCTTTGCTCCGACTCCTGCTGTCTCAGTATACCAACCTTTATCTGGGCAGTGGGTAAGAAACCCAAGTGGGTGGTAACATCACTAATCAATCCCCCACTTGAGTCAGGTCCTCTTATCCTGTCTCTACTTTCTTCCCAAACACTGTTCATTCCTTTTTCTTTGCCTTTATAGCAGTGGTTCTCAACCTTCCTAATGCCGCGAGCCTTTAATACAGTTCCTATGGATCGCGACCCACAGGTTGAGAACTGCTGCTTTATAGGCTTCTATTCCTTGTTCTTTTCCATCTCTTCTTTTGTCTAACTCAAATTCTGTGTCTTCTAAGAAAGTACACCTAATTAAACCATTTCTCATTAACATCTGTTGGTCTTCAATCTTTTGACTGCGAACCCTTTATGCATTCAAACAAGATGTCTCTCTGGTGCAAACACTGCCTGTAGGCGTTCAATACAAGATGTTTCTTTGGTGTGACTACAACGCCTTTACGTGCATTTTGTTTCTGAGCTCTAGGCAGTCAAAGATTTAAATGTCCACATACTTATTTGTGCGCCATACAATTTAAATATCTAAGCTTTATCAAAGAAGCCTCTCCAACCCCAATGTAGCTAAATTCAACTTGGTTCAGAAAACTGGGTTCTGACAGTTGTAAATTCCTAATCTGAATTTTGAAAGAGAAATATCTAGGAAATCTATTATTTCCATAAGATAAGCCATAAAGTGGCAATCTAATACATATTTGGCATCTCAACCTATTCTATGATAGCTTTATTTTGCTGGATGGATTAACAAGCTCCAAACCAAAACCACAATCAAAAAACTCACCTCTTTTTAGTAGATGCATCCAGTTCTGCGGTATGAAAAAAAGCAGTCACCAAATCTAATACAAACAGACAAGAGAAGGAGCATGTTTTCACCCCTTTTCCAGGGCACAAGAAAAGCCCCAGGCAAAAATTTACATTTCCTCTGTGGGGGGAAAAATTAAATCTTCTTGTGTTCTCTTCTTTGGCCCACTAATGTAATTTTTGAAGCCCTAAACTTTGTTGAATCTAATCTCTGCACACACTGACATAGAAATATATTTGGATTTAAGATTACAGATGTAATGCATACCAAATGATGGTGAGGTAAAGAGAGTAGTGGGTAACCCAAGCAGAGCAGAGGTGAAACTTGCTGATCTTGCTGACAAGAAATGAAACCTGCTGACAAGTAATCATACCTGAAAGTAAGTACATCATGTTGATATGCTTTCTATACTCCCTGCTCTGCTAATCATAATGCTAATTAATTATTAAAGCTGACCTGATGGCTACAAATTTAATACTATAGTTTTGCAATGAAAATATATCTTATTTTCATTACACTGTACCATACGGACACAATGCATTTCTACCTACTTGTAAATTTATTTATTTACCTTTTGACAGATTCTTGAGCTGCAAGAACTAGTTCTATGTTTTAAAGTGTGATTAAATGTATGCAAATGTCACAGAAATGATAAACTTAACCTACATAAAAAACCGATTCTGTCTTTTCCTAAGCACACTTAGCTAATGAAGAAGTACTTCTTCAGTCAGTATTTAGCTGATAAATCCATTTAAGTGTGTCTTTCACTTTCAAGCTGGTAAATCCATACATTATCATAATTTATATAAAGTTTCAATACTTTGCTAGACTTTTAATTCCAACATAGTTTATATAAAGTTTCAATACTTTATTAGAATTTTACTATTAAACACTGACTCCAGGTTTTAAATGTAATAGACATTAAGACAAAAGGTAACAACATAGATTTTAGGGTTGGGGAAGACAGGAAAAGATCATTCTTGGGAAGGTTTTACAGAAATAATGACAGTCAAGCAAAGTCTTACCAGAAGAGTTAAAGTTAGCTAGGTAAAACATGGATGGGCACACTGCACATTTAGAAAAAGAAAGTAGCACATACAAAGACATAGGGAAAAAGGAACTTGATATGCTCAAGAATGGCAGTGTCCAATAGAATTTTCTGTAATGACCGAAATGTTCTGAAACTGTGCTTTTGGTATAGTAGCTGAAGAACTAATATAGTAATTTTTTTAGTTTTAATTAAATTTAAATATTAAAGTGTCTAAAAATTTAAAAATATGGCAGAAGTAAGGAATTCAATGTGAAAGGCAATATACAAGGCTGGAAAGATGTACCGACACAGTTCCTAAAGAGCCTAGGACCTAGCACATTTGCCAAGTTTTTTTTTTCCTAAAAGTCAGAATGAGTCATGGAAGGCCTTGAAGAAGTCAAGAAATAGGATTACCTTTGCATCCAGAAAAAAAAAAAAAATCACTCAAGCAGCAGTGGTAAATGACTAAAATGGGTA